GTGAATTGGAATAATAAGGGAATTGCACCTGATACCAGTCCATAAGGTTGGCTAGACATTCATCATGTTACTATGGAGACCTAACTTTCAAAGTACTGTACCTCCAGAACTCCTGCAGGGCTTAGAGCAGCCACCAAATTGCTAAGAGCAGAACAAACCCAAATCAGCATTATGTCTTATGTATCACATTCTAAAGTACACGGATATAGGAAATATCATGTGGTGTTTCTATAAATCTCTATTGCTTTAGCACCATTATTGGGTGGCAGCAGTCTTCAGAGAGAAGCCACCATAGTTTCTATTATAGAATTTAAGTAACTCATGGTCTCTGAGTCAGGCTCATCCCTGGTTTAATTCCACTTATTTCTTTCCACCTGAAATGTGAGAGATCATGGCAGAGGAGATGTTTTGGGTCTTAGAAGGTTGAAGTTAGTTTAAACCACACTAACAGGGGGCTTTAGGGGCTATGAGTACAGTTGTAACGAAGAAACAATGAATGATATTAGAGAATGACAGGGTGGCTGAAAAGCCTTGGTTTACGTGCACAGACACCTTTGTGACTGACCTTATTTGATCAGGAAAGGAGTAAGAACAAAAAGGTTTCTTTCTGATACCTCCAGTCCTTCTGTTTCACAACAGATTAAGAAGAAAAAAAACCCACAAGCCGTGCTGCAGGAAGTAATTGGTTGTTATTTTGATAGGCAATTTAGATCAGAATAATTTGGTTTTAAATTAAACAATGGCATATTTTAAGAGATTATTCTTTTTCTAAACACTCACTTCAATCTGCATTTTATCAATCAAAATGACCATTGATTGGGGCATTTCTCTTAATAAAACAGCTTGAGTGGTAGTGCTTTACACTGTTGTGTCAGAGACCTGACTTCAGTATCTAACAATGGTATTTAAGAGCAAAATTCTCTTTTCAGATTTAAGTGATGGAAGTAGACTGATATTCTGTTGTCCCTGCTGGTACAGACCTTCCATTAATGTTAACGGGAAAGGAGAATATCAGAATTTAGATTTGCTGTGTGTATTTTAGGAGAATTGTCCCCTAAATATCTGAGCAGTCAGGGACTGAGAGCAATTCCAAGGCATTGACCCAAATTCTGCCCAAACTGTTTTGCCATCCTGAAGTCAATTGAGATCCATTGGGTGTAAATCTGAGCAGAACTGACCTTAATCCAGCTGCCAGGAGGTAGAAAACAGTGTACCACGTTGCTTTGGGAATGTCCACCTGGACACAGAACTGAGTCATGCTCTGCTGCTGTTTTAACAAGGCGATGCAGGAGAAAGTAAAGAACTGGGTTGTTATCATAAACATGTTGTTAACATTATGTTACTGCTTAATTACCAACTAGGTCTGAATAGCCCTGTCTTCAGCAATTCTTGTTCTTATATTGTGGGGACAACACCTTTAGAATATCCTAGTTCCAGTGATGCCAGCAACTGTTTTGCTGTCCAGCATGTCCAGCAGACAACCTCTCCAATGTGTAGTGTCATATAGCCAGACCTCTAAGAAACTTGTTCATAGTGTTGACATAATGGACAGAAGAAGATAGATTGTAATAAAATACTTAGGGAACTGTTTACACCATTTATCAATCAGTTTTTAGCAGGTGATCTCATTGGATCCAGTGTATTATAATTGCTGCCATATTTATATGAAACTCTGGCATGGTTTGGGCTGCGAGGGGTCCAAAAGTATTTATTATTATTCATTTCTCTTCTTGAGGATATTACACTATTTTTAGAAATTGCACACTTTAAATAAAAGAACA